GTGTCAATCTGCACTCTTCTGACTCATCTAGTCTAACTTTATTCTGGTCTCATCTGGTGTGAAAATCCGTCAAGCAGTCACCTTTGGTGCCTCATAGCTATTTCCAAGTCATATAGTAGCTGAAACACTAAATCAGATCCAAGTGAGTGCAGTTTCCATGACAGAGGCTTACATCACACACACAGGTGGACATGGTTCTATCTCACAGGTTAAACATCTATAGGAATGTACGAGTGAGACAGACGGCAAGATTGAGAGGCTACTAGAGCCTGTTAGAGTCACAAGACAGATGGAGGAACAGGAGGACAGGTCTGGAGGGGGTACACACACACACACACACACACACACACACACACACACACACACACACACACACACACACACACACACACACACACACACACACACACACACACACACACACACACACACACACACACACACACACACACACACACACACACACACACACACCTTGCTCCACCCTTTTCTGCAGGATGATGGCCACAGCAGTAAGGATCACAGCCAAGAACAATTGGTGGAGCTACAGACTGAAAGAAAGAGGTAAAAGTGGCAGAAAACTTATGAATACTGGGTCACAATTACATTGTATACATCAGAGATAGTGAGTAGCACAAACACAATGACAATGATTGGAGTCCTTCAGTTTATAGTCAGCTCTCAGCCGAAACCACGTACAGCCTTTGTCCCAATTTTGTCTGTCCGGTTTGTTTTTGTAGTGTACACATCGAGACAGTCGGTATCAACTCCCCAGACAGGACTGATCACAGATTTCAAGCTTCAACCGTTACAGATTGTCTAGTCCCCATAGCCCTTCCCTAAGGACTGCTTGTCATGCTAACATCTCTAACAACTTCATGAGGGATTATGTGAAAACACTGGCATTGGAGCAAATAAGAATTTAAATCGCATAAAGTTTATAAATCTAAGGTGACACTGTTTTTTTTTTATTAACAGAAAGCAGAGGCCAAGATGTCACAATATAACTCCAATTTTATGGGGACTTATAACATATCACGCCTATATAGACTTGTTTTGCAGGATGTAGCAGTAAATGCTTCAGTAGTTTTGTGTCTAAACCCTCTGAAGCTGTATCTGTTTCACTAAAGGTAATGTAACTGTCTCAAAGGTTCCAGGTTCTGCTTGTACACGACACACCATATTGCAGTGTACACTTTAGCAAAGGCACAGCCATATTTTAGTTGTTCACATTGACATTACAAAAGAATTAAAACTCTTCCCCACAAGCTGAACACAAATATTTAAGGCAAACATAATAAGTACAACATAGACTGTCATTGTTGATAGAAAAAACACTTTCAGAGTACAAAGGACTGGCTCTGCTCCTAAAGATGTGGTTCTCAGACATCCATTCCCCATTGTGTGCTTGTAAGGGAGGGGTGAGTTATCTCTGTAAATCAGAAGTTACGGTTTAGATCTTTTGCAATCACAACCAAATGTTAACGTTGAAGCTACTGCAACCAAAACAATTGTATAATCATTTATTGTGTTGCACGTATGCTCGGGATAAATGTTTTGCAACTTTGCAGATCCATTCATTAAAAAGAAATCTGAACAGTCTTCCAGTTCCTTCAACGCCTGTTTAATGATGCAAATTAGTTGCAAACTGCAACATAAAGCAAAGTTTAGTTTTGATTGTTAGGGGATTTTTCTTATCTTTTTTTTTGTCGTCAATCCATCACAGTGTAGGAAGCTTGACATGTTGATTCTTTTGCTTGATCATAATTACTGGTGGGTGCAATGTTGACTGCTGCCAGAATGATTGGAGTGTCATACCCAGTGTATGTGGAGGCAGGCATGGGAAGTAAAAAATTTGATTTTAGGGATGAAAAAAAAACACAAATCTGGTTGAAAAAGAAACTAGATGAAACATTTGTTCTGGATAAAATGGTATTGGGACTGAAACAACTATCAGCATTTGAAAAGTACCTCAGTTGATCATCATTGTGTTCAAAGTCAAAATGTCACTGTGAAAGATAATACAGTAACTGGGAAGGAGAAAGCAGCCCAGGTATTTCATACACCTGAACTAAAGCAGAAAAGAATCACATTGGTTTCTGCTTTGACGCACAGTATTGTTGGGCTTAGAAAATACATTTTATTTCATTTCATTTAAATAATCTTTAACCAGAAAGTCTGCAGATTAAAATGATTTTTCAAGTGAGACCTGCCTCGATAGCACATCATTAAAAAGTTAAAAAAATAAAACAAAAATTAATGTTTTACATGTGAAACAATGACATTCCAGCATTTTTTCCACCTTTTTTTTCTTTGTTTAATTTTACAGTGTGTTTTATTGTTTTTTGAAAACTCTGCACATATATTTGTATAAGCAATACACTAATGTAACCAAACACTGCATTATAGCACTTTCTTAAAAACCAACGTATCTTATAAATGTGTCTGCTTTGTCAATAAATTAACACGCAGTATATCATTTCTCATAACTACTAACGCCTCTCTTTAACTGTACCTATTGTCTTTCCTGTTTTCAGATAAAGAATACTTAAAAACAGGTTGCAAATGGATGTGGTTAAGTGGTAGTGTCAAGGGGTGACCCCCTGCCCTCTAAAGCAGTGGTTCTCAACTGGTCTGGTCTAAGGACCCACCACCAACTCCTTCATTCAAATCTGACTGACTTCTAAACTTAAGAAAAACTCATTGGCAAATCATTTCAATTTTTAATTTCATTGTATTTTCAAGCAAATGAAAACACACATGGACTCTTTTTTACATTAAAACATTTTCTTCATTGCTACACATCAAATATATCTTTGTTAGTCACCTGTTGCTTCACAGCCTTGTGTGCACTCCTTCGACCTGGAACTGTCAAACAGATCTGGAGGCCTGCCTGTGGGTTATATGGGGGTGTGCCAAACGGAAGGCGCCATGTTTGGTGAAGGTGGAGGGGTGTTTAGGTTGTTGAGGTGAAATATTTTATTTAAATGGTTGTTTAAGGATTCAGTCAACTGATATGTATATTGATATGCTTTTAGCCTTATGGCAGACATGCTGTGTTGTTTGTCGAACAGGTAAATACTCTCCTGAGAGTATTCCAACCCTTTTTGGTAGGTGCCAACTCCTATAGGAGGAGGCTTGAGGGCCTTGCATTTTTCTCCAGGCCTGCTGTGGGGGGGAGTGGGATGCAGGTGCGGATCCAGGGGGGTCTCAAAGTTATCCAAGAAGGATAACCACAAAATCCCAAGCGATAGATTGGAAAGGGGGCAAAAACAATGAAACTGTGTAGAGCTACAACAAGCTTTCTAAACTAAAGACTGCACCAAAAATTATGAACTAAACTATGTCAAGCAGCTGACTCAAACCAAAATTGTCCAGGAGACTGAGAAAACACTTCACAAAAGGCAAAGGCTGGCAGGGAGACCCTCGATAACACAAAAGGATGGAGTCACAACAAAACCATCCAGAACCCCAAGTTATACTCTGGGAGACGGGCAATGGAAATGTTTCACACACCACATTCTTAGTTGGTGTTTATAGACACAGGGAGAACCTCTCACTACCTCTGAAGGTGAGATAATGAGTCAGCACAGAGCATATATAAGCTCCCCACACCTGAGCTTAATCAAAGCCAATCAGTGACACACACACACACACACACACACACACACACACACACACACACACACACCTGACTGCAGTAGGAAGATTCTCACCCCACAGAACGAGTGAACACATCACACCTTCAAAAATGTGCTCAGTATGTTTTCCAAATCTTGCTCAATTATTTATGAATTCATTGTCTCTGTGGTATCACATTCAGTCTGTGTCACCAAGAGATGGGGAAGGAGCCAGATAACAGCTGTTATGGCTAAATGAAAATATTTGAATTGATAAAACATTTTGTGAATGACTTATTGGGTGTCAGTGGGGATGTAGGTGTCAATGCTATGCACAGCTATTGTCTGCAACACCTTTATCGTGGAGAAACATGATTAAAAAATCCCAGCATCATTTACATGTTTGTTGACCTTGCATTACAAATAACAAATGGTTTATGAATTGGAAAATGAACTCTACCATGTATCATTGTTTTATGTCTTCTGAGAATATAACGTCTCTTCCACATCATTTTACAAACATACTGGAAAGATACTTTTAATACTCCTCTTCCTTGGTCGAAAATGTTTCAGTTTATTTGTGAATCATCGTGTTCTACTTATTTATGGGCTTTCCTTATTAGAGTTATTTTACAAAATACTTGCAACAAGAGCGGATGAAAATCGTTGTAGATTTTGTTGTGATGAGGAGGAGGACATTTTGCATGTATTTTTGGTATTGTCCTGTTGTTGCATCATACTGGTAGCAGGTGGCAGATTGGCTAGCGGAACGAGCAATTATTTTACCTTTATCCCCTTACAATATTATTCAGGGTTTCCCAAGATGATCAAAACATGTTGTTGAATATTATTATAGTTCTTGGCAATATGTATGTTGAATTCTCCCATTAAGATCCCTTATTTTAAATCTTAAGGATTATTATCTTCAAGAGAAACTAATTATGAAAGGTAAACATTTAAATAAGATTCAAAGATACAAATGCTTTATGTTTTCCATAAAGTAATATTATTTGATTTATTCTGTTGTTTTTTCGTCCTGAAATGAGGTAGAAAGCTTGTTCGACTTTGTGTTAAATATACTCAAACCTATGTAGATATGTATGTATGTTTGTGTCTGTGTATTGATGTTTAAGCCTAATAGAATAAATAAAACTGTTTACATCTATGGTGTAGTGTACAGAGAATTCACTAACATGGTAAACACACTTTCTTTAATGTATGATGCAGGATGTCTCTTAGTCCAGAGTGATAAACTGAAATATAACATCCCTTTAGTACACTGCTGCCATCATGTGGCAATGAGTTTGAGCTACACCTCCACCAAAGCAATCGTTCATCACCTGTTGTTGGTGTTTCTATGGCAACAGTCCTGCGTTACCTGGGGAAGGTGAGAAGCAGTCGAGGTAAACAGAACAGAGGACGACAGAGCGAACATGAATAGCCTCTTTTCCAGGTAGGAGTCTGTGCTTTTATATTTGTGCATTACCTGAATCTAGCTGAATACCAATATATAAAACATGTGAAACATCCAATTCTTTATCTCCTCACTTGTCCCAGTAGGGATGTGCAGGTGAAGAGCATGGAGCAAACGGTGAAACATGCTGAGAAGCACCTGGGTGAGCTCTGCTCCCTGCTGGCCTCGTACACCAGGAAGACAGCCAAGCTAAGAGATAAGGCAGACCTGCTGGTGGCTCAGCTCTTTGACTTCTCCAGCACAGAGGACCCTGAGCTCCAAATCGGACTTAAAAACCTGGCTGAGGATCTCTCCATGGTGCAGGATTACAGACAGGCTCAGGTCACGAACACTATATCATCCATACATCAATGTGCTACTGCCTCTGCATTACCATGTGGCTGTTATCATAATGAAGGTTTTATTATTTCAGGTAGAGAGACTGGAGACGAGAGTTGTTGCTCCTCTAAAAGCCTATGGAGACACTGTGAAAAACAAAAGGGTGAGTTTGACAACAGAGGTGTGCGTTTGCCTATAACACATTTGCATGAAGCTTATATCATATCACCAAATTTGTCTTAATATAATATGACCCTGATTATAAAATTATATGAAAAAGTAAATACTTAAGCCAAATGTCCCCATATCTGTCTAGCTTGTCACTCTCTCTTGTCAGACTCTTGGAAGCAGTTAAAATCTTTTTATTTGAGCTACTCATTTTTGACTCATGCACATTTTTAACAGCTTGATAAATGTACGGTGATCCAATTTTGGAACTAATCCTGTCTTTGTTTTGGGAGTAAACGGTTAGACATATACTTAAGTGCATGAAAAAAAAAAAACCCTGTCTCCGGCTTTTTGTTTTGTGTGTTGTATTGTGTGACTAGGTAGATCTAAAGAAGTTAAGCACTGATCTGAACAAGGAGCTGAAGGAGTTGCAGAAGTTGGAAAAAATGCGACTGAGGAACCCAGCAGATCGACAAGGCATTGTATCCTTAACAGAAGGACATTTGACTCTTTTCATCACCACGGCGTTCTAAAATTGTTTCATTGACATATAAATCCTAAATAATCCACAATAAGCCAATCAGTTTCAAAGAAATGTGTGCATCCAATCATGTCGTTTTTGTATTTTATCTGATAATGGGTATTTGGTTAATGCTGATGAATAAAACGTTGTGTATTATAAAATAATATAAACTAGATAAAACTTGAGTAAATTACAATATGTTAATATTGTATCTCACTACAGAATTATAGTGAATGTGTTTAGTTACTTTTCTTGTAAAATAAATTTAAAAAATAATCCAGATTTCAGTTGCAAATTTTGAAATTAATTTAAAAAAAGATAATAATCATTTTATAACTTATCTTCCTTTTTCACATAAGTAAAGGGAATGGGTTCACAAAAGTTGAAGTCCAACCAATCGGCATGTTGAGCAAGTTATCTGTTGATTTATATTAAGAACAATAATATATAATATATATAATGTCTTATTGATGAAGGGAACATTCACTCATTTCAAGTTAATCAGCAGGTATATTTGAACACTTAAAAGCAGCAAACATGCTGGTTATTGTAAAAAATAAATATATTTGTGTGTTGTTTTAGCTGTGACTAGTCTACGCAATCTTCACAAATGGCTGTATACTAGTTTCTGATCAAATAGGCACCCAGTTCATGAAAACACTTTCTAATTGTAAATTTCACTAAAGAAACATTTCTTGACAAGAATGTTCAGTCTCAGGTAATGTTAATGACTTTATGATTATCTCATGAATACCATCACATTACCAGCACCTCCAGCCGTGTGGTAGAGCTTACCACTGTAACTGCGGTGTATGTTCATCAACAGGCAGAAGTGAATGCTCAGAAGGCTTCCAACAATGCCCATCGCAGCATCAGACAACTGGAGGAGACCATCACAGACTTCCAGAGACAAAAACTGGAGGATATGAAAGTAAGTGGCAACACATGCACACATCCTTCAACAAGTAAAGCATACATTTCACACTGGGAATAACCATTTCTTTGTTCCTGGCAGAGGATTTTCATTGACTTTATCACAGTGGAGATGCTTTTCCATGCTAAAGCGCTGGAGGTCTATACACATACATACCACAACCTGGAGGGGATAGACACTCAAAAGGATCTAGAGGTACTTCATGCTAACTGATGTAACTGATGTAACCCCATTGTTTTATTCTGCGACCTTAAAGAAATGCTTTTTTGCAGTTATTTTAATCCCTCCATCTCATTGCTTCCTTTTTTTAAATTAATCTAAATTTCTCAATGAAATTAATAACCTGAATTAACTTAACAGTCGTGGATGGATACATGTCAGCAAGCACTGACAAACAACACAGAATCATTAAGGAAAAGTATAGTCATAGTTTCAAGTTACATGATAACATTTAAGAAAAACTTAGAGCTTGAAACTGCTCTTTTCTGTTTTGGATGTATACATGAGTGTTTCTTAATGACTCCATAGCTCTTCATCGGGCGGATCAAGATGTCAGACTCTCTAGCTGGGCGCATGGACACCCCACTGAGCAGCTACTCTTCTCCCCTCATGAGCAGCTACCCCAGCCCTCCTGTGGCCGCCGCTAAAAGCCAAAGCTTCAGGTCAACACTGGCCTCTACCGCAGGTCAAAACCTCAGACAACAACAACACAGCCAGTACCCAGACAGAGCCAGGAGGGTGAGCACAATGTTTGTTTTATTATGAAAGTGTTGTCAGGATTTCAAAGAAACCCTGGTTAGCTTTGAAACACCTGACCATGAAGATCAAACTGAGGGGAGAATTCCACTTATTTTTATTTTTTTTCAGTCTCGTAGCACCTTACAGCGGCAGAGAGGTATGGAGGAGGAAGAAGAGCTGGAGGAGGAAGATGAGGATGAAGACGAAGAAGAGGAGATGTATGAATCAGAGATAGAGGACGGTCAGAACACCAGCAGGAAGTCTTATGCTGCTCAATATGCCCAGATGCACAGATGGCAAAAGTAACAGCCTGAGCATGGAAACATTAACACGTCTGTACCTGCAAACAGTGCAGCAATGTAGTTTCTTCCAAGCTGATGACTGTAAAGCTGTCTTTCCCTTTAACTTGCCTTTTCATTAGCATCATGAAGTTAATTCAGTTTACATAGATAGATAGAAAGAGACTTTATTGATCCTGAGGGAAGTTCAAGCCTCCAGTAGCATCTTACCATCATTACAACACAAGGAATTGATGTCACTGACTGCCGTCATCACTCCATTCACAATGAGTAAAAAAAGAAGCATGATATCACGCAACGTTTTCTATGGTGCTTTCATTTCTAACCGACAGATGCCGCTAATGAGTCCTCCAGCGAACTGGGCACTGAGTTGTTACTGTATACAAGGGACAAAAGATCTTACATTTACATATAACAAAACATCCCCAAATGCCTAGAACTTGCTGGGGGCCAACATAAAGGGCCCTGGGCTTGCAATACACTGGCCCTGATTGATAATGAAATACTGAATGCACCGAATCGTCTGTTTGTTCATGTTGATAATTGCTCATCAATGTCTCTTACCACAAAAAAGGTCAAATGAGCAGCAAATTGTTCTTATATTAAACCTGATGGATCAAATAGATAATTTGATTACACTGCACTCAGATACAATATGTCCCCTTGAAGTTCACAGGTGAAACTAATGAACATGGGGTTATTTCTTGAAGCCCCTGTGAGAAGTTTTTATCTCCTAATGACGGACTGAAATATCAAGACTTCTGCGCTAAATACAATGTTTGCATCCACTAAAATACACGAGGGATACTCAGAAAAACACTATGTTCATCATAAAAGACCATACCAGAGTTTAATAACAGGCATTGATACTGCGACAAAAATATGTTTGACTGAGAAGCCGTCAATGAACATGTTTCTAAATCTTACTAATATCAAAGAGTTGACATGTCTTATCCCACTGGCCAGTTTCTAAGGTGTCTTTGAACATCCCGAGTCAGCTCCAAAACACAAGCAAACGACTGTGTCTGTCACTACAAACAGGCAGATCTCTCGTTCTCCAGTTATTTTACTCCAGCTAACAGAAGCTGGGAATATATACTGTCTCTTGAGACTTAGTCTAAAAGCAAATGTTTGTCACTTTGTCTGCCATTTTCTCTGTTTTGTGTTATTTTCAACTTTCATAGCGCACAAAGTCTGCACACTGAATGAATAGTATACCGAATAGGCTCACATTCAATTGTTCAAGCTTCATGAAAACGATCCCCAAAAACAAAGCTATGTGTACAGTACATGAGTAACTATATGAGAAGGAAGCAAACAGCTAGGTTTAAATTCACAGTCCACGATCCTACCAGGTGGTTTTCACTATTGAATGAAATAAAATTGCTTTCCTCCGGTTTCTATCAAAATTGGTTGATGTTTTCAAAACCCTCGATCGAGAAACAGTGTGCCGCCTGTCTTAACAAGAGAAGTGAACTTCCACAATCAGCGTTTGATTAGTGCCTGACTTGACAAAAAGCTACAATCCAAATTTAAAACTAAATTGTGAACTGTGATTATGAAGCAGCTACAATCATTGTTTATACAATGTCTAGAATCTGCAGTTTGCAATCGCAACGTTGATCTGAAATCAATCTCTGTAACTGTAAATCATAATATTAAATTAGACTCATACAGTGCTTTTGTAAACACTCAGACGCTTATTTCCACATTTTCTCGCCATCTCAAAGGCAGGGTTGGTCATTTATGAAAACTAGCATGATTTTGAAAGTAGCATTCCCTCAGTGCTATGTCTGCACCCACCCCCTCCCCTCTGTGCTCCCTCAAAAGCCACGCCCCCTCATTTACGCGCACAAGCGCCATTGATCCAGAAGTGGACCTCAGCTAATGCTTTGAGTGTGGGCTCGTGCATATCTCGTTTTACAGGCTTACAACTGATACAGATGACGGATTTTCTTTGTTCCTTTTTCAGAGAACATGAGTTATTAATGTCTGTCAGGACCTAAAGACGACTTCAATCAAAATCTTAAAAAGTGTATCTGGAGAAAACTACCAACCCTGCCTTTAAGGTCTAGTTTATAAAATATTGTTATTGGATCTAAACATTGTAAAATGAACTTTGGTTGCACAATCATCTGCTTTCATTTTTTGTCCTGCACTTTAGGTTAAGGTAGATACACGTACTTTTCAAATACTTTTCTAAAACACCCTACGTCCATTCACAATTTCAGTTCCTACAGTCTAATAATTGAACTCTATCCTTGAGTAAGAAAAAGAAAAGACCTCCACTGATGGCCGTGTTTTGTCAGCTTAGGAAAGTTTAATATTCCATATTGTCAGAAGCGAAAACACTTGAACATAAAAGTGAAAGGAGTACATTTCACTGAATGCACTTACAGAGCAATATTACTGGGCTGCATTGATCTGAAATGAGATTATAATGAAGACCGGATACACAGAGCAGGAATACTGGAGATCAGAAGTACAGGTAGATAAAAGAAGAGTGTAATTAATGCTGTCAGCCTAGTAGCACATTGAAACCTCAGTTCCTGAATCTAGTTAAATATAGCAAGGGGTCTTCAGAGATAAAAAAATATTCTTCACAGTAGTTTTTTTTTTTTTCATCACATCCATGCACGTCATTGTAAATCATCATTGACACACTTCAAATGGCACTTAAAAAAGGAAAAAAGGAAGAAAAAACAGCTTGTTCGTTTACTTACTTGACATGGAGGTTATAAGGAGGAGTCGAAGGATCAGACTCAAGGAATGTGTGTTGCTGGAGTGTGTACATTTCTGCTGTTTGTTGAAATAAAAGTTCCTAGTTTTTGATAATAACGATTCTTCTGCTGTCTGCATTTCGTGACTTAATCAAGTGTGCACGATGTCAATAATGCACCAGACATACACAACAAGTTCTCGCTGATGGAGATCACGAAATACTCAACAAGTCAGCAGACATTTGACTGAAAGTACTACTGGCAAGTAGTAAAGCACAGTAAACTTTGTATCACCTATATACCCTTCACTTTGTTCCAATGTAGACACATACCATAGAATCCCTATTTGACCTTTTCTTTAATTGTATACATAAAATAAACAAATAAAACAAATACTTGGGCACTGTGAGCACTTGGCATCTTTCAAATCATAAAACAATAGAACAAAGACCATTTTTTGTAGACAGCCAACATATTCAGTGAGGTGGAACTGTCCGTTGTCCCACGTTCACTTGCAGCAGTACAGTAGTCATGTTAGTACCAACCGGCGCTTGATTGAAGGTGTAGAAGAAGTTTTAGTCCACTCTCCCTTTTTGACTCACCGTCTCCAGGAGACCATATTTAAATCTGATTGTTAACCAACCTATAAAGTGCTTTCAAAAATAATCTTCTCATCATAATCATTCTCATCTATACAATAAATCAGTATGACAATTAGGGCGTTGTTAGGAGTATGAAAGAAAGAAAGGAGAGGAAGAATTAAAAAGGGTCTATTCAGGCACGAGCAGAAAGCTCTTTCTCTTTTTCCTCCTCTTGTCCCTCCCTCCACTGCTTTTCTTTTCCTTCCTGTTGTTGTTGTTGTTGTTGTTGTTGTTTTTTACTTCTTGAAAGGTGTCAGTCTGCCAATGTTATGCCAGAAAGTGGAGGTTTTGCGCTTGGGCTCGGCAAGCATGAAGACCTGCTGCTGGGGCAGAGCAGTGGGGAGAGAGGGGTGTTTCTGTCGCAGGAGGAAGTCGTAGTAGGGTCTGGTCACCGCTAAAAAAGGAGGAGAGAATGTCATTACATACAACATAGATTTATGGCCTTGAGCTTTTTGTAATGTTTTTCTTCAAGCACAGTTAGTCACATTAAAAACATCCCATGTTTTGAAGTTATTTATTTAAGCTACACCAATCTCTCAGTGGAAAAACATTGACAAACATTGTAGGTGTTGGACTTTATTAAAATAGCTTAACACGGATAAAAAGTGATACAAAAGAGCTCATATTTATTTTTAAAGAAGATCTCAGTCGTGTTGGTATTTTGTAACAGTCCTCTGAAATAACTCTGCTGTTCTATTTTGGAGGAGAAGTATTTTTAGCACGAGTCAAACCTTAACTTAGCTTGTTTGAGAGAAAATTCCTGAAGAATACAGGTCGTACAGTTTTATAAAACATACTGCTCCATGCATTATTAATCTGTTCTCATATATCATACATAGTGTGGTGACCAGTGTCCAAGCCAAGGGTGAAAGACATCTTGGGACTGTTACTGTACTGAGACTTAAGATGATCCCCAGGGAAGGGGAGGGTTTTAAAAAACATTTGATCAATTCATTCATTAAAGCAGTTCATTTTATAGTCCTACACACGATCACAAGTGGACATCTTTAAGCATGGCAGCTTATACCTGCTAATTAGATGTGTCTCTACCTGCTTCAAGAAACCACTTGTGATTGGATGTCACTTTCCAGCTCTATATGCAAAGGATCTGCCACTCAGTGCCATTGTTGCCATGTTTACAGACACTAGGTAGACCTTAAGATTGAAATGATCTCAATGCGTCCTTAATGAATCTAGTTGTTTTTTTTGTGATGTGTACCGAGAGCTTCTCAATCGTGACCAATTCACCCAAGATTTGAATCTTAATGCCAGGTGTAATAAAGGCATTCAGTTCAGCTGCTTAATGCCAAATGTAAAACTACTGAAGACTTTTGTTTCTTCTGTGAGCACGTGGATGCTTACCTTTAGGTTTTCCAGCTGGATGGCTTTTGCAGGCATTCAACATGGCCTGTTTCTTCTGGACCTCTGTGAGAGAAAAGCCTAAGAAAGAAGAGAAGATAATGACTATAAAGCTTTTTTCTTTTACAGTCAGTCTATTATTGAATGGGAAAAAACATGAGAGAAAATTTGGCCGACAAAAAAATGGCTTGCAGAGTCAGCGGATTGATTGATAAGCTCTGGAGCAGATTTAATTGAGTTGGTTCCACATTGATCCGGACTTTATCTACAGAATGGACCGACTCATTTGACTTTGCAAACTGAGGGGGGCATTTAAAGAAAATCTGTGTTTTCTTATTACAAAACACATTATTTGACTTAATAGGCTAACTTAACACTTTCTTTCTTGAATTATGAATGTTATGACATGTGCAGGTAATCTGACCTGTCTCGCGGTCATGCTGGACTTGACTCCTCTCATCAGTGAAAGCTCGTAGCCAACGTTGTTTCTGTTCGGGCTTTTTGGCACACAAAAGATGGACCTCGTCACCAGCTAGCGACCGTAGCTTCAGGGCGTTCTTCACGCTGATGTTGAAGTACTTCTCCTTGCCGTCCTCCACGTCTATCACCTCCATGTGGTCCATGTCCATCCGACCCTTATAGTACAGCATGTCCCGGCGCAAGAGATCCTGAAAAAAAATGTTAGGATGGCAAATTCAGCGAGGAATTCTTTTAAAAAGTACAAGATCTAAGTAATCAGCAGATAAAGCAAGAGTCAGCATGAGAGAATGGTTGAATGCATGTCACAGATAAAAAAAAAAAAAGAGGCAAACTATTATTACTGAAAACAGTGTAAGGAACCGTGGTAAGCACCTTTTTGCAGTAAACCATCTGATGGTCAAAGAGGAAAAACATTCTCTGTTGACTCTTGGCCTGAGGCTGGGACAACTTGGTCAACTCCCCTGAGAAGATGAGATCAGAGCTCCTACTCAAGATGTCTTCACCCTGCATGGATCGAAGCAAGCACACAAACGGTGGTTACTTTCTATCCCAGTCCTGTTGAAAATGACACTGTTCAGCATTTCATAGCAAAGACGCTTCATGCCATACCTCCCAGTCCTCTATTGAGCTCTGCCACTGGGCGATCTTGTCGATGTTCTCAAGGCGCCGTTTCCTCTCATTGATAAGTCTGGCCACATTCTTCATGGCATTTAAGGCTGCCTCAACATCTTTGTAGTCCCTAAAAGACAGAGATAATCACATGAAGGTAGAATTTTAAAATAAAGTCTTCAGCCTTTTGTGTACTTCTGGCCACAGTCTATATTTTTTTTAAAAAGAACAAGTGTCTTTCCTTTTCTTCCAAGACAGGAAAAAAAGGTAACCTCCTAACAAGTACTATGTGTTAAATCAAAGACAGAATACATTAGTGGGGGAGGGGGGTTACATAGATGGAGTGAAAACACTCATGAAATGCACATATTGAAAACCAAATGTGAATATTTTGACATTGATCGAAAGATTAATATGAATATTAAAGAAGATATTTCCAGGGTAAACCGAACATCATCACCCTGTCTCTGTTAAAGGCAGGGTTGGTAATTTTCTCCAGATACACTTTTTAAGATTTTGGTTGAAATTGTCTTTAGGCCCTGACAGACATTAATAACTCATGTTCTCTGAAAAAGGAACAAAGAAAATCTGTCATCTGTAGAAGTTGTAAGCCTGTAAAAACTTTGACCAATGTCTGCCACGAGGTACCAATCTGATGAACCAATCAGACGCCTCCCTGTCTCCCTGCTCGTTCTCTACCCCATGCATGCACGAGCCCACACTCAAAGCAAGAGCTGAGGTCCGCTTCTGGACCAATGGCGCTTGAGCATGTTAGTGAGGGGCGTGGCTTTTAAGGGAGCTCAGAGGTGGGTGCAGATGGAGCACTGAGGGAATGCTACTTTCAAAATCATGCTAGTTTTAGAAAATTACCAACCCTGCTTTTAACCAAATGGAGTTGGCCTTCCTTAAGATAAATACATATAATTGAAAGTTGATTTCTAATATTTGCGCATATAAGCTCCAATGGATCTCCTAAAACCTTTTTTTCTGAGTGAGAACAAGGAGTGTGTAGTCACCTGTGCTGAGGGTTGGTGTATTTTAGCAGCTCGGCCAGCTGCAGTGGGTACTTGCAAATCTTCTGAACGGGGGTGAGCAAAAAGCCATCTAAGGAAATGTCAATCATCTTTTGGAGCAGTCGGCAGGCCTCAAAGAAAAACACGTACTTGTTGACCTTCATGAGCTTGGAGAGCTGAACGCAGGCATTGGGGTGGTTGTTGCAGTACTCGGAATAGATCTGGAAATCTGTTTGCTAAACAAAAGGGAACAGGGATGTGATTAGAAAGAGGAGAACTGCTTTGGTGGAATATTAATCCTAAAGAATAAAGATATGCATAAATAAAAATAAAACTAGTTAAAGGTTTAGGGGAAAAAATGTAAATGTTTGCATGCCACTTTTTTACAAATAGAATGCAGTAATTTATAGTTTTCATGAAGCTCTCTGCACTCAATCTGTTCAAATTAATTTAGCAACCAAGCTTACATGTTCTAGGAAGCAGCAGCCGATCTCACTGAGGTGGGGCTGCTCCTTGTTGAATTTCTTTTCCAGACCTTTCAGGAACTTTCTCTGGAATCGATAGATCTCTTCGATATTGCCAAAGATAGTACGAAGCTGCTCCTCGTTGAACATGTCCGTCCTCTTGCGGCATTGTTTGATATAACCCTGAGGAAAAACAGAAAGATAGACTATAAAATAAATACATGTACGGCAATGGTTACTGTGCTATCATATCATTTACGCACCACAGTCAACCACATAACAGGCAGATCAGCCAATCCAGGACTTTGGATTTAGTCCTGTTCATGATTTGAGTTATTCAATTTAAATTCTTCCATGTAGACTTTTCTGAGTTTAGTTAAAATTCTGACAGCAATCCTTCAAAGCGTAGGAGGAACTTAAGTCTGCTGACTTGTTAAAAAACAGCTGCTCAGAATGTCACAGGGTCATGGTTAAGAAATGGGTTTATTGGAACTGATGTGCTACAATTTCTAAACAAGACAACATCGTGTTAAAACGTGAAGCCTAACCTCACAGATGTCTTTCAGGTGTTTGATGTAGTCTCTCTCTGTGCTCATGATCTCATTGATGACATTGGTCCTCATCTGCTCTTTGCAGGGTAAACCAGGTCCCAGCAACAAGCCCAGACCTGCCCGGTCCTTTTCTCCGGCCTGAGCCTCCTCCAGATGGGCCAGGTACTCCTCCATGGGCTCATCCTGGTTTACACGCAACTGAGGAGGAAACAGGTAACCTAAAACCTCAAGAAAAGCTTCGATACTCGCAAAATCTTAAATTTTTTAGCTGATTCACTATTAATTTAAAATCAAATAGGTGTGAACTGCATTTTGAAAGTTTTCAAAGCTACAGGAGAACAGTTGTGTAATTGATTTTCGAGAAGTACTCAGTGAAAGAAACTATTTTTTCTAATGCTTTCTTTCAATGTACTTCTCATTAATTATTTTCTTTGCTTGTACAGTTTAGCATAAGAAAATAACAGGCTAATCATGAGCAATGTCTTAAGACCCGTTTCCACCAAGCAGTCCGGTTTGGTTTAGTACAGTTTGGTACAGTTCAGTATGGTAAACCCGGAATGGAGTGTAGGCCAGATGGAGATAGCCGGGTCAGCTATGTAATAGTTTGACATCATAGCAGCCCAACACAGTGTAGCCCGCTATTAAATAAGTTAAATGTTCAATAAATGTATTATTAAATGTACAAGGGACCCTTTAGGGTGGGTTCGGTACCCTTGGCACCCCAACAGAAGGGTACCAAAAAAGTAGGACGGTCCGGATCCCTTATTCTGGTACCATTCCCAACTTTTGACTTTGGAAATGCCAATAAATGAACCGGACCGCTTGGTGGAAAAGAGGCTTTAGTGACAACACACACAAACAATAAACACATTTCAAACTGTGCAGTAACACAAATACTTTATAACATCTCAAAACTTTTTATTACTTTGATACCTACTAATGCAGCAGCTGCAGTCATTATTCAGACAATTCAGTTCAAACTTGTAATAGAATCATTCGTGTTGGATGCTGGACAGAGCTTGTCTTACCCGCACAAAGCTGGCAGGGAACCAGCCCTCACTGTCCATGATACGACCCCACCACCACTCTTTGTTGGTGGCGTCCACTACTTCGATGACATCACCAGCCTTGAAGCCCAGCTCCTGATCATCCATGGTGACATGGTCCCAGAGAGCCTCGGCATATACCACGCTGCCATCACTGATCAGCTGTACACAGGTAAGGACAGTGGTCAGATTAAGGTCATGTTTTTATCAAGTTTCAGCACGTGGCACAACAATACGGTTAGGACTCGCCACAAAATGTGTTGTAATGTCATGGTCAATGAATCAATCAATCAGGGTCAGTTCCCAGCTCACATGGCAAGGATGGGGTTAGTGATGTAACTGACTTTAGAACAACATTATTCAAACCATAGAGTTCAACCAGTTACCTTCTTTCATCATAGTTTACCACAGTGACCATTAGGAACTGGCTGAATGAATACATTTTCTTGAACTGACTTCACCTAGCACTGACATGCAGCTGGTTAACAATATTTATCATGTCAATTCAGAATGTCTTTTTTGACTTTTGGAGGGCTTAGTGAAAAGCTAAATAAGCTTTTCCTTTGTCTTTTTTTGTTTGCCAGACAGGGAAGATCTTGTGGATAAATGTTGGGTCTAAATAATACAACAAAGAGTATGGTCTAGACCTGCTATTTTTGTAAAGTGTCTTGAAAAATGGGCACAATACAAGTGAAGATTGATTGATCGAGGGACACTAGTGAGTTTTTTAACTTTAACATCTAAATGATCTATCTGCCTATAACATACTAGACCAAATCTAAAAAAAAGATGAATGTGTGCATTACTTCACTTGAACATTCAAACGTCTTCACCTTCAGGGCTTAATCGGTGAGCTTGTTTGCAACAGCTGCTTTTTCTAAATTCATCACTTGGCAGCTACAGAGCAATATACATTCATAGTTGTGTTTTTGTCCACTTTGTGTGTATACGCCCCAAATGGAAATACTTGTCTCTTTCACTGCCTAATACCCCATGTTCACCAACTAGTGTGTAATAGTGTCTCTTTAATTTAAAACCAGATAGCAAACATTGGGCTAAAATTCACAAGACGGTTAGTTAAGTGTAGCTACTGATTCATATTTCATCCAACTCAAAGTTGATCATAATTATCGAGAATGAAAAGAGAGAGCCTTTTTTTTTTTAAAAGCAAGTGTTGATGTGGAAATAAAGATCAGAATACATTTTGTGATAATAATAAGGTAATTTGGTGCTTTGTAAACACTTAGATGCTTCCCAGTGATTATTACATTAGAATATATTGAATTTTTCAAATGAATACGATAGTATATGGTATAAACCATGGCATTTTGTGAAACTGATACGGGTACAGAAACCGATGATACAGCTCTGTACACTGTAGTTATTAATAGAGTTAGCATGCAATTGACCAACACAGCATACAGTCAGTTTTGATGTCATAAGATAAATGGAAGGCCGGTAATTAGCTCAGTAGTGCTGTAACATGCTATATGAGCTATAACTATGTGTCAAATATATGAGTCTCCAAAATATACCAGCTTTGATATAGGCTACCAAACATGGACTAATGTTGAAGTCTGAGTCTGAGGGCAGAATGAGAGATCAATGAGGAGCTTAAGGTGGAAGAAGTAAACTCAGCAGAAAGAGGAAGTGTGAGAGACAGAGAGAGAAAGGGGGGGGGGGGGGGCAGGAACAGAGCGAGACCAGAAAAGAGATGGAGCCAGTGTTACTGATGAAGACACTGCAGTGGTCATATTTCACACTGCCTCGTACACACACACCGCCAATTTCACTGCGTCAACATGGCCCCTAGCCCCACAGAGGGTATCCATTATGCTGCTCAGCATCTCAACCCTGGAGAGGACACAAATTCTTACTAGAATACATCAGCCCACAATCGCTGCTCTCTGCAGGCTGTGTCTTTTTGTGATCCCCCAAAAAACTATGCTCTTCTTCACAATACCTTACTATCGTTTTCAAGAAAAAGTCCTTTCATTTTTTTTTAGCACCACTGATACATTGCAATGAGGAAAACAAGAGACTTTGGCTGTTGCTAAGCAACACACCCACACCATCTTGCCTTACTGCTGTCTCTATCTCTAGGTTCTTCTTTGACATGACACCACAATATCCTCTTGTTAAATGTTGTGATAGTAAACAGCTTCTTACTCCCTTTCAAATAGGCTGAGCTTCATGACCGTGCTCAAAGAAATGACCACACCAGCAAAGGCTTAAACACAGACAGACAGAGAGACGCTATCACACACAAGCAGCTCTGCCCCTATAGCCTTTTCCCCGTATCCTGAGAATGCAATATGAACAGATGAACGAGTTGGACATCCACAGGCTGTTTTTTTTTTTTTGTTGTTGCTGTCAATTGGCTCAGGACAACTTATAAATCTGTAAAGGTAAAAGTTGCCTGTTCAGTCATCTTATTTAGGCTAATTAGTTAGCAAAGTGGGGATTAAGCCTTTAGCCCAATTAATTAGGATAATTATTTGGTATTACCAACTTGATGGAGAGTCCATATTCTAGGGAAAGAAATTACAAGCAGTGTCCATTACCCAGCAGAGGTTGGTCCTCCAGAGGGAGTAGACGGATTGGGTGTGGGATCTATTTCCTGGCAATAAAAGAAACAAAGGAGTGCTAATCCAATAAAACAGGATCCCTTTAAGACGGACATTCATCATACTTGTGTTACATCTTAAGTGCCCAGGCAATTCTAAGCGTTTTGAGGTTGCTAGACATTATCAGACCTTAAATAAATACATGCTGATGGCATTTTTTAGATTTAGCCTGCTCTTTGTCACTTTTTGAAGGTCAGGAAAATCCCTCCAGTTATGAGGAGTCTGCCAACTGCTCATAGACATGTCCAACATGTGACAAGGGGTCTTATTCTAAGGGGACATAAACCAAAATGGTTGGGTAAAGCAGGTTTATTTCATGTTTTAATTATGCAAATTAAACTAATATTTAAGGGATGATGTCAAAAAGCTCCTTTTTCTGAAATAAACAATCGACAACATATACCAATATGTTCCAACCAAGGGGAAATACTGCACGGGATAGCAGAACACAATGAGAGAACACAGAGTATAATAATGTGTCCTTTGCAGTCATTTACCAAATGAGAAAAGGACAATATAAACATTTTCATCCATAAAAAGCTTTAATAGATTTATTTAGATGTTATGAGACACTATTGCTGGGAGACTCCAAGCTGTAACCACCAAAACCAATGTCCCAATGCCATTAGCTTATCACACTCAGAAAGCTAACAGTTTGTATGACACTGTAACAAGTAAACCCTAAATTTCAGCCACTCCAATGATTAAATGTTCAATATTTAATTTCCTTTTAGCCGTATACGCCTGAGTGCCAGGTTGAATTCTTTGTTTTCTTTGTTTTCTTTCCTACACTATACAGATTTTGAGACTGGAAAACAGTTGCCTTCATCTTTGGTTTTTCTACCCAATGTCTAAGCAACTCCACTTAGGCACAAGGTTGTCATTCATATCACTTTGTTTCTCTTCTCCATCAATAATACTGATTTTCTTTAAAGTAGTGAGTATGAAAAAAATGGTTCACATAAAAAATAGGGCCAAAAAAAATGTGACACTGAACTGATTTTAACAAAACAGGAAGTCAAAATTCAAAGAAGGTTTGAGTATGGATGTGCAGCAGATGAACACAGGAGATAGTGAAGCTGGAAGACTACTACTATAACTAAAACATACACATATAAATAGGGGCATAAAGGACTGTTTATTATATTTGTATTTCGCCCAGTTGAACAGAAACCCCTAACCTCTTCCATTACTGATTTGAAACAGACCAGGTATATTGGCATACATAAAATGATATTTCATGTTACAGGTTTAACTTGTCAGATGCAGTGGTTGCAACAACACTGACGGGACTTCTAAAATATATCGAACTTTACCTGGACAAACTGCAAACAGCAGGACATTTAGCAGCAGCGGCTTGTGTGTAGTTCATGAAAAAGTGTCTGTGCACTCAAAAACACTAGCTTGTTCAAAAGGAAAGAACTGTTTCAATGTTGAGAGAGCTGCATATCATATCACTAACAATATTTTTAATGGACAACAGATCTATTAAAACCGACAAGTTCTGAAGTTGAAAACACGATCAGCCCAGGTTATCTAAGAGCTGTAACGAGGTCGCTGCAGAGTGTGTTACATCACCTGAAAGCACTCTGCTCTTGATTTTAAACGGTTTGTTCATCCAAATTTAAAAAAAAAAAACATACTTTTTTTAATATGACTTCAGACAAAAGATGGGCCTAATATTAATTTTCCATAGTAGTACCAGATACTCTCTCTGAGGAAGATGTTGCTTTCCCCCCCAGACTGAACAAATACCCAAAAATCCATGTATCCTATAAACCTTTGAGTGTAGTTAAGTATTGTTTATCCAAACCTCATATACATATATCCCTTTGTAAAATAACGTTAAGCATGTTCCTTCCTAGATAGTAACAAACGTTCTGCAAAGTAATTTGACCCTAAATGACTGCAGCCCCTTGTATCAAACACATTTTGAGTCATGTTTGTGGAAACAACTACACTCTATGCTCATCTATGGGGAAATAAGGGTTAGGGTTAACCCCTTGCTTTAAAAGATGGAACAATATATTTATGAGGTAAGTTTAAAGATTCATGTCTTCAGGAAGGACAAAAGAGGCTGAAAGCTGAAAGCCACAGACATAGGGAAGTAAGAAAGTGTTCAGAAAAGGGCTTATTCATAGTTTGTGAGGAGAATAGCATTTTCCTTCTCTTTTTAAGCAAAACAATCGCACTTATATCACTTCTGTTGTATTGATTTGGAAATGTCAAATACAGAGACAAACATTTCAAAGTCTAGAAACATCAATGCATCTTCAATACTAGCTTTATACCTATGCCTATATAAGATGAGCCGCTGTTTTTTCTTACATGTTTCGATTACACCGTTGTATACACATCCTCCATTCTCATACAAAATGATCTCCCCTCTCCTATTGGATGTACCTGTGTTCTGCTGCTGCCATGTTGGACACCCATCAATTCCAGCAGTCCTCCTCCAATCCTTTAGTTCCTCTGTGTTTAGTTTATCTGGTCTGTCTCTCCATGTAGGATCATGTGTTCATGAGCACGTGTATGTGTGTGTGTGTGTGTGTGTGTGTGTGTGTCTGTGTTAGTTTGTGTGTATGAGAGAGTGGTGGTCAGTGGGGTTGGCTCTACTGGAAGGCCAGCAGGAACATGAGCACCACATTGATGATGATGAGCAGCATCATAATAAGGAACACCACCACCTTCTGGGTCTCCGGGGGGAGGTTGCATCGCAGCATTGCACTCAAGAATCCCATCCTCTGCCTGCTCCACCTCCCCGAACCGCTGCCCCGAGCCATCAGTCCCCTGGCCTCCTCCTCCTCCTCCTCCTCAGCACCGCTGCCCCTCCCCCGCCGCCTCTCCCTCAGCGCTGAGCCTCCACACCACACCGCGTCAACTGGTCCTCCTCCTTGACTATCTCCGTCGCTGTCGCCTAGTGTTGCTCTCCTCCTCCGCTCGGCTCCGGCGGTCGCCTCCTCTGCCTCTCCTGCCACTTTGCCCAGTGTTGCCCCGGCCTGCCGGTGGAGGCTGGGTGCCAATCTGTGTCAGCGTGTGCGAGAATGTGTACACTGTGAAGCTATTTGTGTGTTACGTGCTGAGCATCGCACCTTGTCCTCTTTCTCCTCTTTAAGAAATAGACAACTCCTCTCTCTTCCTCCTTACTATATTCAGCAGTTCAGACGTAATACTCGGTTTTCTTGCTCTTCGTGGTCAGGATTTCAGGATAAAAGACGGTGGAAAGGATGCTGCTTTCCCCACGTTCATGCTCATGCCTTCACGTCTTTTCCTTCCTCTTCTTTTATTCCAGCTTGTTCCTTTGTCACTCTAGCCTAGATTCGCTCCATCGCTGACTACATTGCAAACCTTCCAGCCATTTGTTCTCCTTCTGGCCTGTTTTCTTTCTCTCCTCTCCCTCGGTCTCTGCCCACCTTCTCTCTCTGTTAACAGCTAAAATGGTGCTCGGTGCGCTGCCTGGAGCTGTGCAGCCTCAGCCATCCATCTAACTACCAGGATCTCCCTCTTTTCTTTTTTTTTTCCCCCCCTTCCTGCCCTTCCTTTTTTTCACATACCCACCCTTAGATAGCTGGCAGCCAATCAGGATGCAGAATGTGTCATCGTATCCTGGATACCAGAGTGGTTGAGGCAGGGCCATAGCAACCCGTTGGGAGGGAGAGGAGGCCAAGGAGGGGCTGGTTGTTAGGGACAGAGGCCCCTCCCTGTGTGGATACCATGCAGAATAATGGACGGATCTCTAGGTAAATCGTGTGTGAGTGTGTGTGTGTGTGTGTGTGCGCGCATGGTTGTTTGAAAACAATAACAGGTTTATGTGTTTATTGCATTTACAATAAAGAGCAGATACACTTTTATCGGGGTAAATAGAGTATTTCTGATTCCGATAAAAAGGAGCTGCGTAAAATAGAAAAGATGATTATGTGATAACATTACAATGATTTTAATTGAGAGACTTACTCCTCAGTCTCTGGATCTCTACTTCAAGCATGCGCATAAGTGACCACAGGCAGCCGAATCTGTCAAACTGATCTTAAGTAAAAAGAATCCTGGTCGAGTAATTTGTGGATACAGCATGGCAATAATCTGGGACATTTACATTGATCAGAGTTTTTCTTCTTTATGCTCTTTACTGCCAAACTTATACATTATGTTTTCTAACGCCTGAGTTCAAATTGAAGTAACAACCCTTGAAAATGTTGTATTGATATTAACCAATTAACGGTCACCATTGCAGACGACGCCTCCTCCTCATACCCACTCTGCTTTGTGCTGGAGCCGTTAGAGAACATTCAGTACCGGTTATCTTGCACGTGAGGGACATGTGTGAAAAGCAATTTCTGAAAATATCAGAGGCCTGTCTTTAAATTATCTATAAGATGTCAAAAATTCATGAGAAAGGGGGACTGTGATGTGTTTTCAACGGGAAGGTTAAGGAATTGATTTATCACTATGCCACAAGTATAGATAGAAGAACATCTGCAGCTGCCCCAAAAAATGAAGTCTACTTATTGATGCTTTTGTTTTACTGTAAGATTGACAGCTGTGGCTCAGAGTTAGAGCACATTGTGCATCACTGTATGAACATGTGTGTACGTTTAACGCTGTTTAAATGCAGTCAAATTTGCATTTTATTTTACAAATGTTTTTGGACAACAAACTATTTGTAAGGTGAACATATTAAAGCAGTAAGGCAATAGGAACAGTTTGTAGGCTTTATAGAACTCACTGAACCCTCTATTGGTTTTAGATTTTTTTTTTTAAAGTGATATCTTTAGCTTTAGATAATGCAACTAATGGTAGATGGTAAATGGACTTGAGGTGGTATAGCGCTTTTCTAGTGTTCAGACTACTCAAAGCGCTTTTTACACCACATGTCACACCCTGATGGCAGAGGCTGCTATGTAGTGAGACCATCAGAAGTAACTAATCCATTCATACACATTCATACATATTAATACACATTCATACACATTCATATGCCGCTGACAAAGCAGTGGGAGCAATTTGGGGTTAAGTGTCTTTCCAAAGGACACATCGGACATGCAGGAGCTGTGGATCGACCCCAGACCTTCCAGTTGAGAGACGACTACTCTATCAAATGTGCCACATCCGCCCCTAAGAGCAACTAATTCATTTTTAACTGCATAGTTGTGCAACTCAATTGATTATCTAGCAGCAACAACACAAAAAACTGTGCTGGCGTCTTTAAGGTACAAAGGCCAAGCTGGCCCTAGTCCTTCCCATGGGTTAGGTCAAACAGGGTGCCTGCTGGGATCTGCATTTTGATAGAAGCTTTTTGCACCAGCTGTGAGTAAGTTCTAACTTAGCCTAAATTTAACATTAATTTGAGCAAATTGTCATTTATGCAATAGCTAAAAAAGCCGTTGAAATCGAGAAATTAGCCACAAAATTACTGTAAATTAGAATTGTTATACTTGTCCCAAGTGTATTCACAGAAGTATATTCACTACAAAGGCAGCAGCTTTTCTGGTTCACAGCATGATTCTTTTTTTTTTTAATCTTCATGTCAATTTTAGAATCCTTATTTATAAGACTTTTACAATGAGACCTTTCTGTGATCTCCCTAACCTTGTGCCTAAATGCCTAGAAGAGCTATCAAGTGTTTCCTCTCATATTCTGTTATTCCCCTTTATCTCCACACCCTCAGAGTAGACCCTAGATGGTTGCTACAAGATACAGCCTTTCAGTTTTGGATCATTTGTTTTTATCTGTTCAAAATTTTACAGAACATACCTCAATGTGCATTTGTGATTAACATAAACAATATAAAACCTTTCATTTGTTTTCACATGAAGCCAAGAAAGTGTGGTACAGACTGCTCAGTGTATGTCAATATGCCAATCACAACGTTCCAAGGCTAAAGTTTGTTTATACAAATGATACGTCTGAACCCATGAAAACAGTGAAACAGCCACTTCACCATCATATCAAATTGCAAGAAGAAGCAGATGTTATCATTTCTAAGGAATAAACCTGAGACAAACTACTGAACAGCAAATACACAGAGCAGCCTCCAAGCACAACCTTGTTAAAGCTATTTTACATTTCACCAAAACAGAGTCTCTAATAGCTGAGCCTGCAGCAAAAGGAGTCTGACAGAACCCACTCAGCACCATTTTGTTGATACCCACATTTTATCTTGTCATGTTTGTAGATGTAAGACATCAGTGGCCCACAAGATGGCAGCAGAGCGCAGACAGACTGTCCTATACTCTTTATGAAGAAGAAACTCAGAGATGTGCAGTTGGTTGCCATGGTTTTTTGTTTTGCTGGGTCACTATCAGCAGATCCAACAAAGGTTAAGGAGGAAAAGACTGTTTCGAACACAGCAAACACAAAAAAATAAACAAACAAACAAATAAATATCTAAATAAATCCAACTAAGGCAGGTCGATGTAAAAAAGCAGCTCATCTTCAATGAGTATTAATTTGAATTAAGAGGCTTGAAGGTACTATTAGAGTGAATGCATCTACTCTGTGAGTCATGTTTTACTGAGCTTGTGTATTAGCAGAATCCAGAGCAGGTATCCATGGCAACTTCATAACCTACCAACCTCAGAGCTTGTTTTGCCACTCCTCTAAGCCAAAACGCATTGAGAGCCATCTCCAGCCTTTTGCCAGGCCTTGTTCAACTTAATAGCATTTTAAGACTGCATCTCCTTTCACCTAAAGGTACTTACAACTGCTGTCATAAAATAAGGCTAAAGAATATCAATGATGGATTAAGGACAATTGAATTTAAATGACATGAAGGCTTATTTAACTTTGGATTGGCTGTCGTTTGGACACAGACATGAGGGATCAACTTCCACAATTCTGTACCCACTATTTCTACAAAGCCTTCAAATTGTTTTTCTTTTTAAAAGAAATTGGATGACTTCCTGGTTTTTTGTTTTCTTGTTTTTTTTTCTTAAACAAAGCATCTCTGGCTGACAACCATGACAAGTAAAAAACATAAAAGGCTAAATTCTGCCCAGCTAACAAAGGACAAGGACAAACAACATATCAGCACCTCAAGCCCAAGACATATATGTTTTTCAATTATCACAACTGGAATACCATCTGGATTAAAATCATCTAACCCCGGAAAAAAATGCATACATGATAATACCTACCTCATACCTATTCAAATTTAAACCTAAACATTAGCAATGTTAGCGCCTTTTAAATTGTCCCATGGTGGCACTTTAAATAAACACTGTGGCAAGAATAACATACGATTACTTTTGCAGACAGAATAGTTTGAAAGCAGATCAAATAAAATATAAATTTCCAACAAAAAAACATTGTATTTTGGGTAGAGATGTATTTTAATCTTCAATCCAAACACACTTGCTTTTATACATAACCCTGATGAATTCTTCATTTGATGGTTAAGACACGTCACCTACCTCATTTATGGCCAACTGTTCTCCTCCTCCTCCTCCCAGGTGTCCAAAACGATGTCCGGAACTGCGAAACTCTTCATACAGCAGGTCCTCTTCACTGCCCAGGTCATCTCCAAACCCTGCCTTCTCTGAAGCCCCATCAGGAACAACCACAGCTGAGATATGAAGAGAAAGGGAAAAAGAAAGTGAGAGTGTGACAAACTCACCTACAAATGATTTACACACTTAATTCTCATTTGATTTAAATTCCTCTGAAGAGCGATGCATTAATTAAACAGCTGGCAGGGTTTGATGTTAAACAATTAGATATATATTATACAATTATTAACTTATTCTAATACTGGGCAAAAAACTGTTGAAGAAGAGAAAAAATAGTTTTTGTTTTCATTTCGAAGTAACATGGCAAAGAAAATGTAACACAGGGTAACAGCAGAGATAATGTAATGTTTTCTGTTAGACATACAGCAATGAATTATTACAATATTATCATAATAAAGCTGTCTGTATAGCACATTTTAAGAATAAAAGTGCGGGGATTGAAAAAAAAGGGTGTTGGGGCACATTGCCACATTCACTATTAGCATAAGATTTGATGAGCAAAGTATAAAAACGAAACATCAGGAGATTGTTGTGTGATTCTAGATAAATGCACTTTTTTTGTCAAATGAAGAAAATATCTCCTAGTAATCAGCTGGCTGTCCATTCTGTCCATAGGCTGATAAAATGTGATGTTTTCACACAATCCAGGCGGGCGAGTTTCCCGGTTTACAAACAGTCCGGCTGATCTAGTGGGTCACCAGGCCCTTCAGTCACCAGCATTAACGTATTATTGGCAAGATCAGTACAGAGGAGACAATATCATTTTATACATTCATGATTTATGTTGAAATGAAAAAAACAAAACAAAACAGAAGAACCAGTGAACCACTGTTTACAACATTTTCTACATCATACTTTAACAAGCTCATTTTGTCAGTTTGTTCAGTGCAATGGGGTGTAATATACATAACAATCAAACTTAATCTCTGCATGAAAAATAGTGTTGTGGTGGAAAGTGTTTCCTTAGTGAGGCAGATACCTTCATTAAGTAAAGGCTAACTTTGTGAGTTTTAAGAGCTGCACCTGGAAAAACTCTGAAATATGACATCAGGAATGACAGAAATGTACAGACCTGGAGCATTTGTTTAACTGTTATCGGAAATCTCAGAGCAACCAGGGGTCTAGCACTCACAATGACTAATGTGAATGCTTTTAAGTTGTAGCCATGGAGATTGTTCCCATGGCTACCTTCCAACCTACATAGCCAAAACATTATCCACAGTAGTACATATCAGGGTGAAACATTTTTGATGAAAACAAATCTGCTGTCGATGGCCTGTCAGATATTTTCTACTGAGAGTCATACGCATCCTATATGATGAACATAATGTTGATTAACTGACTTTTAGAACACAAGATTGTTCCAGATTCAACAATGGCCAAAAATATCCCACATCAACAGCCTCACAACATGCCGAGGCTCACAAAAGCAGGCATTGAATTTTGTTCCATCAAAGAAGCATCCTCTAAAGTGTCTGAACTCACTTTGGCTACCTGACTGATGAGCTAAAAATAATCTCGCTGCCACACCTCATCATAGGCGTCACCCTCGGCTGCCTGGCTGACAAGCTGTTTTCACAGGAGACGTATCCCTAGCAACCGTAGAGCCAGAGTGAGACTGATATAATGAAAAAGCGCATGGTGTCCCTTAGGTGGAAATTATACACTTGACAAGGCTTTAAGATAATTAAAGACCAGTTAAAGGGCATTATATTTTATCACATTACGAGAGGGGACATAAAAAGTACTCTGGTATCAACATCTGGTTAGATAAACTGAAGGCAGCGTACTTTTACATCTCCATCATTGTCATCATCAGCAATGTGGAACCTTGGAGTGCTTTCCTTATGGGGGCAGTGTAGGACACCCTGACTGGTAATGTGGGATTGCTGTAGAGAGATGGAGGGACTCCAGGTATTGAGTGACCCTTATTTGTGTGCCGATAGCTCCTGCAGTCTGGCTCGCAGTCACATGGTGAAGTGTGACACAACAAGACTTGACTTCTAAAACCAGACACAGTTGTAGACTGCTAAACGGCCTTTAGTCTTGTCTTGTGCTAACAGTCAAAGCAACACCAAAAGCTGTCCTGTCCCAGCTTAGGTCGATATGTATTACTGTAACACTCAGGTTCATGAAATAAAGATCACATCATAACTTTTACAAAAAGTTTGTCAGAGGAAAATATGTATATCCCTCCAGGAAAATCAAATGATTTCTTTGAACAATATGCTAACATCCTAGTGGATCTAGACCACAGAAGCTTGCTATTGTGGTTGGAATGATTTTAGGAGGTCCAGAATAAAAAATACCCCATTAGGCCGCTACTGACCCCCCTAATGTCTTAAACTATTTATACAATTAGGCCATTGTGACACTGGTGTTTTCTTTTTTACTGAGACCCAAGTAATTTGGAACTGGCATAGCATTATCCACCCTCTGCTTCTGCTCCGTCATTATAAACACCCAGCAAAATGGAAACTCACTTTGGTTTAAATGCATTTGAGTCTAGCTGAAAGTTAAGATTCTACTGTTTTAAGGGATTTGCATATGGGAGTGACTCTGTGGAAGAAGCCTTTCTCAACAGCTGCTCTGGTTTACCTTGAGATTGGGGGACGCAATCTCCCAGGTACCTCCTTCCATATGCAGGTAGTATTTACTTATGCCCTCTCTAGTAGGTGCTTCATTGTATTACTGAAAATGGACTTCACACACCCTATAAGAGACAAACTGTTTTCACATCAATTATTCAACAGTCCAACATTTGTGTTCTCTCTTGGTAAATGGTAAATTAACTTGAGCTTGTATACGACTTTCCTGGTCTTCTGACCACTCAAAGTGCTCTTTCCACTGCATGCCGCATTCACCCATTCACACCATATTCACTGCTATCTAATGTGTTCATAAGTATTATAACCCATTCATATACATTTACATGCCGCAGCAGTAGCAAATTGTGGTTTAGTGTTTTGCACAAGGACACTTCAAACATGTGATCGCAGGAGCTGGGGATTGAACCCTGACCTTCTGGTTGAGAGACAATAGACTCTAACAATGAGCCACAGCCGCTCCAAGGTTAGGATGAGGGTCATATTTAAATTTTTCTTTGTTTGTTGTCTGCAGGAGAAGCTGAAAATTAAAATCTGTGATTATGGCAACTCAATCAATCAATCTTTTTTTTGTAAAGCACCAAATCACAACAGATGTTATCTCAAGAAACCTTGCAAGAAGAGCAGGTCTAGACCATACTCTTTGTTATATCATTTACAACATTAATCCACCACGAGCCCAGCACTTTAAAACATTTAGCAAAGTAAAAGAGGCAATTAGGATAAACTGCCTTTTAGCAGGCAGCGACCTCCAAGCAGAGCCAGACTCATGTTGATCTGCTATAACTGTGTTGGCCTTAGAAAGTAGGATAGAGGGAGATGCAAGAGAGACAAACAGAGACAAACAAACTCAACTCACTGAACATCAATTCAGATGGACACAAAATGAATCCCATGGTACACAAGTTAACCCCAACGGCATTAAAAAAAAAATCTTAATTAGACGCCATTAGGGTTCTAAAAAAAGCGGTGTTGGTACATGAGAACCTACTTCTCCTGCTAGACTAAATAAGTACAGGCACTCTTTTGTTCCTCACTCTGTGACTCTGCTCACCCAACAAAAAAAGTAAATGGAGTTAATTGCCCACTTAATCATGGTGCAGCCGCATTCTTAAAATGGAAAAATGCTTAATCAACAATTTAAATAACGTAAATTAACCCTCAATTCAGTCCCAATAAATATCTTTTTTGGAAGGCTTTAGGAGGCCCAGCTCAGTTTCCATCCCAATCCTTAAAGAGGGTGTACCCTCTGGTCTTCTATCATCCACAGAGAACAGAAGATATCAGTGTTACCTACTGAACAGCAGCAGGTTCATAGAGGCCACTGTGTCACTCACAACAGGGAGGGAGTTCTGAATTGCACTGTTTATTGTTTGCCTCTCGCCTGACTGGTCAGCTTGTCCTTGCAAAATGTCTCTGTGTGGGAATGTATGTGTGTGTGACAGGATAGAACAATGATTTAAATGGGTTTTGTGTGTTACATTAGGAGGCTGAAGCTAAGGCTAAGCATGTTAGTGTGTGAGCTTGAACTGTATAGCATTCAATCATCCTGAGCCTCTGGATGTGGGTTAGCCATATTAATGGATCAGATTTGTCTGCAGAGAGAACATTCAATACTCACTGGCACGATGTGTGTTTTTGTGGCCAGTTGAGGAATTCAAGCGTAAGGGTTGCATTTTCATTGGATGTGTGTGTGCGGCTGGCTGCACCGGGGCACGTGTCTACTACCCACGTGTGACTGGACAGCCCCACACTGACAATCACTTGGCCTACTAACAAGGACAAGGGAGAGCGAGGGGAGGGGAGGGGAGGGGAGGTGGATGAGGGGAGGTATGGGATGGATGGTTTCATGTTAAACTAAAGCACTATATTAACTTTCGGGAAGAAAGTTTCGAGAGGGAATGGGCAGCTACCAAAAAGCCTCTGTCGCCCCAGGTTCAGCTCGTTCTCGTAAGTAATGTAGACAGCAGGTTGGATTCTGAGGGGTGGAGGCTGCAGGGACTGTTGCAGTGAAACAGTTGGATGTGGGAGGCCGGGTTATGGAGGCTTTCAGAGCTAGGAGAAGGACTTTGAAATGCATGAATTGGTGAACAAGGCCATAGATGCTCCTGTTTGAATGGTGCTATTTATGTAGAAACACAGTGACTAGGCGTAGTAAACAGGGATCACTTTAATCAGATATTTTCCCTCTTTGATGGATTTGTATTAACAATGATGGAAAAATCGCTGCAGCTCTCAAAATCCCTGGTATGAATGCTATAGTTAGTTAGACATGACATACTCAATGGGGAGATTCCCTCGGCATCATCGAGGATACTGGGGATCATGAGGAAAGACATCCCTGGTTCTAACCTGGGATATGAACTCAATCATTATTCTCTGGATTTCAATGTTCTGCTGTAATCTCTGCCCACCCTTTTTTCCTTCTCTACTCCAACCTGGTACAAAAA